TCTTAATGTAGGCATAACACAGATCTCTTTTCTGGGAAGCTTGACATATTGTATTCAGATTATTTGAGTCTTTCATAGGGGAGCAGCTTGGCCCTGCTGTGAGTAGGAGAAAGGACTAGAGACCTCCTGTCACATTAAGACACGATATTGTGTTGATAGAGGACAGAACGGGGGCTACCTTGGGCCTTTCTCAATTTGACCAGTCTGGCCCTTTCCCAAGGAAGCACAGGCAGTGACACCGGCACAAACGAAATCTATGAAATCTATGAAATCCCTTATATCCTCTGTGTCAATTAATCTGAATATGTCAAGCAATTGTGGCAGCTGCAGTCAAGTATCAGATTTGATTCCTTCCCCACTTGTCATTCCCACACAGTCCAGGGTTGCAGACTTCCCCAGTTCAGATCACACTTTTGTCTCCTGTGATATATCTACCAAGACCCCTGAGACCAACTCCTGGTTTTCTGGTGTTAGCAATTCAGCCTGAGGTGGAGTGGTCTAAAGGGATTCAATTATACACTCACAGATGTCAGTGCTTTCCCGTTTATGGACACAAACCAGTCAATATAAAGACCAGATCAGCAGTAAGGAGTAAATGGATGAACAAAACATAAGTTTTTCTCACCCTCTCCCGAAGTTTCCTCTCCTTCCGCTCTTGCACCGTAGTCAGGTAATTCACTGCTGCATATTCCAGCACCGAGAGGAAGACGAACACAAAACTGACCCACAGGTAAATGTCCACTGCTTTGATGTAGGAAACACGGGGCATGGAGGCGTTCACCCCAGTGATGATCGTGGACATGGTCAGCACGGTGGTTATCCCTGGAAAGAACCAAGAGAAATAAATGTTATTGACTGATATAGTCCGCAAGGTTTTTGCCTCAAGAAAAACAGAAATTACGCTCTACATGATACTCTGAAAGATGTTAGATAAGAAATTAATTTGCGATAAGTATCTCTCCTACCAATGCAGAACTGTTCCATTGCCTGCAATTCTCCACGCGTGATGGGTTTACTTTTGAGGAGCAATGGAGCAGCCATCATTTTACTAGGAACAGCATTTCACTCCCTCCTTAACATCTCAGGTTTTAAGACAGTGCTCAGAGTCAGGTCTGCTAAGATGGGTGATGACAAGGACCCCCTGTTTCCTAGCTGTACCAATCTGTGTTACAGGCACTGCCAAAAACCAATCTAGTATTGATTTTTCATCACAGCTAAAGAAGATTTGGGTTAAACCACTGATCTTACAAGGGATGTGCAATAATGATTAAATGTTTTGCATGAAACAATGTGAAAGAAAGTCTTTATGTTTTTACCTCTAGGAATATGTGTTTACAGTTCAGGCTGTGGGAATCAAAAAGCTTTGAACAACCACCATTGTATTATTTATATACAGATGAGTGCATGTGTATGTGTTAATAAACATATATATATATTTGTTTATATTCACATACATGTGTATGAATATATATACACACACACGTGTGAGTATATATATCTATTAGACAGATATAGATAAATCCTGCAAAATTTTATGTACATTGTTTGGATCATCATGAAGAGAAAAATATTTACAAGTTTCCAAAGCCACTTAAAGAGAGGAAACAGAGCCAAAAAGCATTCATAGCTACTTCACCCATTTCAAAACAGTGACCATTGTAAATGCAGCTCCTGTTGTTCACTTCTTATCAGGATCTTATTTTATTAAAAAAATAATATCCACTGAACAAATTTTTTCAGTGGAGCAGACTCTCAACTGTCTCTGCTCATACAATTGCTACAGTGCATAGCTCTCTAAGTGAGATAAACTTGTGGGTTTTATACTTTTAATATTGGAAGCCTTACATATCGACATTCAGAGATTTTTCCTATTATTTTTTCCTACATTTTTGCCTTCCTCTAACCTATGCATGAAGTGATAAACAAATCAGCTCTTTTTATGCTTAGTTAAAAGAATTTCCTCCAGTCGTGATGCAGCCAGAGCTCCTCCTGATGAGTTTTAGATGTCCAGAGAGGTAGATCGATGTGCACAGGATTTTCAAGCAGCTCCTTCTTCAATTTCCCACTTCCTCAAACAAAAGACCCCCCTACTGCAGAAACATTGGACCCTCAGTGTGGGGCAACCTTGGGAGAGGTGGCTCTGCCTCACCTTAGGGCTGGTGGCTTTTCATCCTCAGCACTTCAGACATGAGATGAAAGCCACGTTCCCTTCACTGCCTCACTGTTTTCTGAGGCCTGATGTTACAGAGATGCCCCGAGTGTCCCCAGGGGCACATCAGATGGAAGGACACCTAAGTCTGCAGGTGCTGACAGGACTAGAGCCTTTGCTGCCTTTCTTTTCCAACTTTGTGAAGATGTGCCCCATTGGCACCCTCCAGGCAGCCCAGAGAAAGCCACCAGCCACAGCACCAGTATCAGTTGGCTGGGAAGACACATCCCAGGCTGGAATACCCACTGTGGCAGCCAAGACATGCAGAATCCTGCTCATGAAAGGCACTCATTGAAATAGTAACAGAGGCCTTTAACTCCCTGTAGGTGCCTAAACTCCTGTGAAACTCTGCCTGCAGAGATGGCAATGCATGTCTCAGAACTGCAGGACTGGATAACAGGGAAAAGCCTTGATCCATTGACTCATAAATACTGAAACCTCTGTTCTCTGCCTGACTTCACTTTTAAAACCACAGCCCTTTCTGTCTTGAGCTAAGTTTAGATCAGGAGGACTGCTTAGTGATGGAGGACTTCAGACAAACTGCAAGTTTTACATTATAATAATCATCACATAAAACAAACATTTGCTTGTCCAGTATCTTTAAGCATCAAAATGAACAGTTCCCTTTCTTGCTGAAACTTTAATGTTCAAAGATTTTCATGCAGTTATGGCTTGTTGCAGTTGCTCTCACCCAAAGAAACTCTGGCAGGAACTGCTCGGCGATCGATCCAGAAGGACACCCAGGACAACATGACCATGAGGGTGGCGGGGAAGTACGTTTGGAGCAAGAAGAAGAAGATGTGTCGGTGTAAAGTGAAGTTTATGTAGAGGCGATTGTACCAACCTTTGAGGGAGGAGGAAAACAAGAATCAGTGAGAACAATCTGGATGTTAGGCACAGAGAGATCATCTTTCTTTTGATTTTTTATTTCTAAAGGGTAGTGAAAAGAGAAACTGATCTTTCAAAACATGTATTGTCCATACTGTGGAGACTACATTTCAGTGACATGTAATGCCAAGAGGTCTCTCACAAGTAATTATTACAGTATTAGCTTTAGCAATAGCATTACATCAGAAAAGGCCATACCTGTGCTACTGTAGAAAGCCAGTCTCGATGTAGTGTGGAATTTTTGTATCAAAAACTGAGACAAAGAAATCTTTTCATCGGTTTTCAGAGATTCATTCCCATTTTTCCAATACAGCATCAGATCTTCATCAGTGTAAGCATCTTAGGGAA